TTTTTCAACAACAGTAAGTTAAGGGTCCTCTGATAGGTTAGGTGGGCAGGAATTCTCATAAAGTTTCAAAACGTTATGAAAAACGTGAATTTAAAGTGTCCTCTCATAACCTCTGCGCGTAAGGCGGACGACTCAAATAGAAAACGGAACAGAACGTCACTTTTGTGAGTCGATTTCATTTCAAATTACGTCCAAATTTAGCCATATCGCGCATACGGGCCAAAAGTGACGTTCTTTTTAAGAGGACGGGTTGTCATGTGGCATAGATAGGAAACAGCATTGTGGTTACCTCGACAATTGCAACAAGATGGGATGAACTTTTCACCTTTTTCAATCTTGACTCTACACTTTCGCGAGTCGTGTTTCTTACCACAATACCTGGTTTAAATGCCACACAAATGCCAGTTTAACCTGGGGTTAAACTGGCATTTCCAAGTCATATGTCCCAAACGAGAACACTTCATGCATAATATGGGCTCCTCAAAGTATTTTGCAACTTTCCTGTAGCCTAATCTTTGCACAAAAATTCTTTCTGAAGCCTCACCCTTTACCAAGGCAACAACTTGGCTTTGTTTTTCACCACAAACACTGTTCCTCTTTGCCCAAACAACACTATCATTGTTGAGAAGAAGATAATCAGGATCCAAATAAGTTGGATACTTAAAAACTGTGATCTTGGTGTGCATCATACCTTCTGGAATAACCACAATATTCTCAAAACCAACCGTTGTTAGGTGTTCCACAGCCTTTTCTGTCCCAACTGTTATTTAGGGCCAGCGAAGACCCTCATTGAATATTGGTTCATATTCAAAACACTCCTTAGCCAGATGTATCATACACTCCAGCTTTTGATGGAAGTTCAGTTGACATGTTGTAGGGAATAACAGCCGCTGCCTTCTATTAATCTGCGTGTCTTGCATCCTGCTGATTAGGGTTTCCTGTTGACAATTCCTGGGAGTTTGCATCATTGGACTCTCCTGTCGTGGATCACAGCAATTTTTCTGTCGCTTTTTCATTTCGTCTTTACTGTCACTGTCTCGCTGTCAGTTTTAATACGATCTGCCCTGGTTGATACCTGGAAATAAATATCTCAATAGATCTGATGTTCTGTGAGGCCCAATAAGATCAGCCTGTGATTCATACGTCAAGCTGCAAGCATCCACATCCAACAGTTGACCAGTCCAGCAATGAGGATGCCTGGTCGAGGACCAGGCTGCGGGGACATTGAGCCCCTAAATCATTGCAAGGTAACTGCAAAGTAGGCCTCGCATTATGTAAGCCATACAACATCAAAAGCAGCCATCATATTCAGAGTTTCCAAGTATACATCAGATTGCTCTATGTTACTTTTGATGGTCAGCTTGTCACTTAAATAGTTTTTAAGTTTCTTCACCAGCCACTCAATTGTCGTATTCTTGACATCGGAAAATTGTAGAGACAGGCGCCAGCACCCACATCTGTCAAGAACTCATAACTTTTAGTAGTGCTTCTGTTTAGTACAATATACCTTAAGTCTAGAAGAATTTTTGCAAGAGCTACATATGCCTAATTTTATAAATTAAGAAATACAAAAATACTTTTTTGAAAATAATTTGGATACTTTTCACATAAAAAGTACATAGAGATTATTATAGTCTACTCTAAGTTTTAAGTTTTTTTATGACAATATATATTCATTAACAATATTTTTACAATAATTAACTTTCAAAATACTGAGCAGTATATTTAAATGATACAGCAGAGCAATACATATTGTATGCTAGTTATTAAGCAGCAACTATCCCATGTGCTAAGTAGCTACTGTAATATTGATCTTGGAGATTTTGAATTTCAACACTTATCATTGATAATTTGTTAAAAATGAAAAAGCTTCACATGAACTAATTTCATCAACCACCATCCAAGTAGATAAAATGTGTGAAAAACATACTGAAGTTCAAATGGAAAGTTAATCTATGTAACTTTAATAAACGTCTTTGTTGTGATTATGCAAATTAAACCAATCTAAATCACTCGTAGGTATCATCAAAGGAGGAAAAGCATGAGGAAATACTCCAGTGCCAATGAATGAAGTTTTACTATTTCATTGTCGATTACAAACTGTGCTAAGTAGATGGAAAGAAATGAGAATGCAAATTACCAAATAAATCTTGGTATTTCTTGCAGGATCTTAATGCTGTTGTAATGTTAATACTGTATTAACCAGCTTCTTCTAGAGAAGAAAATATAGACACTATCTGTTGAATTGAACAATATTGAATGGAAACAACTACCATAATTTTCATCATCACAAAGCATGCTGAATATTGCTCCATTCTTTGGGACTTATAATTCACCAGTCATTGAAATTTGTTCAACTGGTAAATAAAGCCAACCAAACCTTAATGAATAACTGAACCTGTGACTTCAAGAGAAGAAAGTGGTAATTCAGCTGCACAAATCTCTGGTGCGCAACCATCTGGAAACTGTATCCAAGCATGGAGACCTCACCTTCACAAAGATATAACTGCTTTGGAAAGCAGAGCACTAAAAATAACTTCAGAACTAAGTTAACTCTCATACCAGGAAAGGTTGAAGAGGTTGATGACATCAGGACTAGCAACAGTTTAAAAATCAAGCACAACAGGGCTGATCTCATCAAGTCCTTTAAAGTACTGAACAAATTAGAAAATATTAATCCAGATTCCTTCTTTCAAAGGTTCAATAATATCCACACCAGGGGGAACAGCTTTGAGCTCAACAAGCCACAGTGTAGGGCAGAAAACAGGAGATTCTTTTTCAGTCATGGGCAATAAACCCATGAAATTGCCTACCTACCCATCTATGTCATAAATGCCAAGACAATACTCCAGTTCAACATTCAGCAGGAAAATCTTCTACAATAATGGGGAACCTTTGACAAGCATTTGCTTTCTGTTTTCTAAGAAGTGGCTAAAGATGATGACCCATAGGTAAAGTCAGGTAAACAAATCAACACCGTTAACTTTTTTACAATTCAGTTTCCTCATTGATGTATTTACCATCTCTATAGATATGAACTCAACAAAGGGTCAGAAGACCAGTAAATACTTCTCAATATTGAAAAGTGCAAGACCTTGCACGTCAAGCATAAAAACTATGCAAAACTATGCAATAACAACCATAACTATAGAGTCTCGGTAGTACAGTCGGGGCTCATTCTCGATCTACCATTAAGAGTACCAGGAGTTAGTCGGCTTATTGTGGGGGTTGCAGCCTGGCATGGGTCAATAATTTGATCCTGGAGGGAGACCTTGATATAAGCCTAACATATACTGTATAGTATTTACATACTGGCTACCTGTCCCGACACAATAAATTATTATTAAATACACATTATAATTACCATATCAAGAACACAACTCAAGAAGTAAATTGAAAGAGAAAAGAAGAACCTAGGCATTATGATCCACCAATCATTGAAAGTTGCTCAGCAAGTGAGACTAAAAAAAAAAAAAAAGCCAACCAAACCTCAGAAACAAATCAAATGAACCTTTGACCTTAAGGAAAAGAAAGTGGTTATTCAGCTGTTGAAATTGGTAGTGTGACCCCCATCTGTACTACTGTATCAAAAATGGAGACCTTGCCATTAAAAAGAGACAACCGATTTGGAAAAAGTTCAGCAAAGAGTGCCAAAACTCCTCTTGGAACTAAGTCGGCACTCATACTAGGAAAGGCTGAGGGCTTTGTGACTAGCAACACTAGAAACCAGGCATGACAGGGCTGATCTCGAGACCTTGAAAACACTAAACAAAGTTGTAGATATTAATCCAGACTACTTTAAAATGCCCGATGTAACTTACACAAGGGGCATCAGCTTCAAATTCAACAGACCACAATAAGTAACAAACAATAGGAGATAATTCACCATAAGTTATAAATGCCAAATCAGGAAACAAAATTTTGTGGGAATGTGGATGACCTTTGACCAATCACTGGCTTCTTGACCTTGTCGAGATTACGTAGATGGTGCCTCTCGGGTAAAATTTGTATAATTATATCAGCTAGCATACTATATTGAACTCTTCTCATGTTATTAAGTACAATCATAATCACATTTACACCTTTTGTATTATTTCTACCCATCAGACTTGACTTATTCCCTCCACTTACTTCCAGTCTCATACTTCTATTTAATATTCTCTCATGATTATTTTCAATATCCCCATTTGCTCTTACACTAGAAACTCTGATGTAAATACTGTATATGAAAAACTTACCCTTTACCCAGTCTTTTAACAACTTCCACTATCCAAGATTGGTGATGATCCTTCAAGTCAAGCATGGAGATTTCTAGGTTTCCCTTGTATTCTAAATCAGGAAAATGTTCTGCTTGATAATCATTTGGTGACAGTTGGAGAGTAATGCGTAGAGTCCTGGTGTTTTGTAAATTCCTCAAGGATTCAAGAGCCTCTAAATTTGTCACTTTCACGCGAATAGTCTTGATACTTCTGTAGTTAGAAAGATTTTTTGGCTTCTCAAGACTGCCAGTAAAATTTGTCAGATTGGCCCAGGATTCCAATGCATCAAGGAATGACTCTGAAGTGTTTTGACATTCATAACGTTCATGATTCAGCAAGGCAAGATCTACATTTATCATCCTCCTGGTCTTTCGTTCCTTCAGCTTGTTACCAACCCCTTCCATTACATCCAAGAACATTGGTAATTTCTGGGGGTTTTTGTTCCCCTCAATCTCTATTTTCAGACTGTTAGGTTGGACTGGAGTGAAACTAAGAAGTTTCAAGGCTGAGACAACATTTGTATGGTCTAGGTTCCAGTCCTTGTTTCGTAATTTGTCCTTGGCAATGATGGTATTTATCTTGGGATGAGCCACTTTTTCAAATTTATTATTTTTATTTCTTATTACTGGCTGACTCTCATTAAGTATATTCCACCAGAAGTTATAATTCTGATCTTCAATACCTGCTTTAGCAATGAGAGAAAAGAGGTCTTCAACTTTGTCTTCTAAAATTTTCTGACTTGCCAAGTGACCTGTTAGATACTTTATAACCTCCTGATATGATTCCCAACTCTCAGGCTGGTTTGCTACATCTTTGAAATTAAATTTCTTCTTTTTGATGCAGTCACTCAAAAATTCAGCAGCAAAATACTCCATTTGGCTCCTATGAAAGAATTCATATACCGGTATATATTTCTCTTTTGAATTCTTATCAGCCTCACATGTTAAAAAAGCTGCCAGGACCTCCTGTGATAGTAATTTCTTGTCATCACATATTTTACAAATCTCAGTTAGATTATTTTCTTGCAGTGTGTACATTTCTGCCTGTAGCATAATCCAAGCTTGGTCTCCTAAATGAATCAATAGCTCAGCTAGATCTCCCTTTATCTTTTGATATGGCACAGCACATTTACTACTTAGGCGCCGAGCTAACCTCTCTTGACACAGCCAGAAAAGCTCTTGATAGAGACGAGTAAGCGTGGTCACCTGGTTTACAATCTCCGAATCGTGTTTCCAAAGAATGATTAAAAGGGAAGTGGTTAGTGGAAGCTTCAAGTGTTCATCCAACACCCTTCCTGGTCCATCAATATACTTGAAAAAGTTGCTTATTTCCATATCATAGTCATTTTTATTTATTATCTCCCTGAATAGTTTTTTTGAAAACTCCTTAAGTCTGTCATCATCAAAACCACACACCTTAATTTCAAGATAATAAATATTGCATTTTTTTGCTATGTTTACAGCTTCTTTCAGTTTTTCAGGTCGAGTTGTGATGATGATGCGCTTGTCACCAAAATTTTTGAAAATATCTTTCACAAGACCACTAGATCTATCTGTTTTTTCATCATAACCATCAATAATGAATAAAATACTCAGCTCTTTCAGTATTGAAATAATATCTTCCTCTTTAAACTTTCCACATGTTTCATGCATCAACTGTTCACTTAAGTACTCTAATACATTTCCTGAAACTGTCCTCCGAACCTCCACAAGAATAACAAGATCAAAATTGCTCAGACCATCTATCTCTGTGCTGCTCTCGAGCCACTTGTCAATAAGATACCGACATAGGGATGTCTTACCACACCCAGGAAGACCATGGAACAATAACAACCCTGGCAGTCTTTCTTCCCCTGTATATGATACTCGTGTTGTCACTGTCAGGATTTCTTTCATATCAATATCACCCTTTCTGTCCTCAATTTCCAATGGGGTAAAAATCTTGTCCACTCGAAAGTCTTTAATCTTATGAAAATCATCCAACAATATGATGAAAGGGTTTAAAATCTTCAAATTCTGATAATTTGCATGAAGTTCATCTCGACCTTCAGTAGTCATTACAAATATCTTATCCTTCTTAAACTTCATTATGTCATCAATGGTGGCCACATTACCTGCCTGAACTTTTGCAGCAATGATTTCATCAAGTATTTTTACTGCATTCGAGTACTCTGTGTCAAAATTTTGATTCACAACTAAACCCACACCTTTATATATATCTTTAATGATTGTCTTCAGTTTATCACATGTGTCCTTCATACTGTCCTCGGCTTTTGAATAGTTGTGATTAATTTCATTTCTTAAAAGCTTCAAGTTATTAATCTGTGCCTGACAATTTAAATCTGAGTAGAGTGTGTTACATGCTATTGACATCAATTTAAATGCAAAAGTAATATCAAATTCAACCACCATAATATTATCATCAAGGTGATTATCAAACTCATTCTCTTTTTTACCAGTCTGAGTACAAAAATCTCTGAGAGACATAGTTCCGCCTTTTGTGTTCATTCGACTGTCAGCATACATAGCCCTTGCTACATCACACATAGCTTTCTGTCCTGGCACATGAACACACTTGTACAGTTTGGCAAAGGCGAAGTCCTCTGGTGTGTAAATGTTTGACATCTTGAACTCGTGAGTATCTTGAAAATATCTAGAGTAGGATCCACTATGGGCCACAGACAGACCAAGGGCGAGCAAGCAGAGAAGACCCTCCTTCACACAAGATAAACCATTTATGCAATCATAGGTATGAGACAATGTTTATCCCATTATAGATGTTCCAGGAACCTGCAAAATAAATACGTCTATTCAGTTTCCTACTACTGTACTGAAAATTTAAATACTATACAGAAAGGAGAAAATGTTATACAAATTCATCCATTTCTTTTTAAGTGACTATACATTAATGGAGCATTAATAACATATTAAGAATTGTTTTGCAAAGACATTTACATGTTAATACAAAAACAATTTATAGAGATTTTTGGTACCCATGAATTTTGTATGTATTCTCTGAAGTTTTATTAGATTAAAAATAGCAGGCTTCAACACAGGCTGTTGTCTCACACAAATCAAAACTAAGTACTTAATGCTAATAAATATAATGTACTGTAGGGATATGAAATGAAAATAATATAGTTACATAAGGTATATTGAGATGGTTATTACCAGGAAAAGGTGGTAAGAATGAGACCAACATTTAATCACTGCATTTAGTGAAAATATCATTTATTGTACAAGTTTCAAGCTTGCCTACTGTAAGTAGTGCATACATGTGACTAACTTTTCATCCCTGCCTTGGGTGTGGGGTACATATTACAGGCAAATGAAAACTCTATTTAAATTAGTTTGCCACAAATGTATATTGCCAAGATTGAAGATCATTATGGTTCAGCACCTGAGCCAATTATGTGACTTAAAACCACTGCACTGCACAAAGCACCTTAAGACTCTGAGGATTGTGCAATTTTTTTTTTAATTAGGCCATATTTTAAGTTTTTTTTTAATGTTTTCATCACTCTTTGTGATTTCAAATGAAAATGATTGAGTTTGGAAACATTTTGACATTAACATTAGCTGAATATTTATAAAAACAAAAATACACTGTATGACCTTAACAACTGCACCCTGAAATTTTTGCCAAAAACAGGTGCGCAGTGTAGGGGTTAATTTTCAGTCATCAACAGAATGTGTACTCGGTCCTTAATAAGTTATTTAAACTGGAAAAAAAAACTACAATATCATGCATCCTACCTGCTCTTATTAACTTGTTCTGTAATTACCATAGTTTAGGAGGCCTGGCCATCTGGCCGATGACCAGGCTGCGGGGTCGCTAACCCCCAAAATCACCTCAAGGTAATGTAAGGTAGTTACAGGATGAGAGCTATGCTCATGTTGTGTCTTCTTCTTCCTAGCACTCTGTCATATAACGCTTTGAAACTACTGACGGTTTTGGCCTCCACCACCTAACAATTTAATTTGCTAAAAAAAATACAAAATGATTCAATATAACAAATTATACTGAATGTGATGTGTTTAGATCTGGCACCAACATACTGTATATGGGCACCACAACATAGAAAAATCAAATAATAAAATATAATTATGAGGAGAAAGTACTAAGCCAATATGACTAGCATTTGGAAGGGATACGAAGACAGTATAGGAGTTGGGATGAGAGGAAGGAGTGCCCAATGAAGACAAGTACTAAAATGCAATTAGCTATGGGACACTGTCATTTATCATCTATACTGTACCTATATTGCACATTATTTGCTAACACAGTGAAGTAACATATTAATGAACATCAGCTGGAAAAAAATCATCAGGAAAAATGGGGGACTTTTGACAGGCTGCTGGCTTCATGTCATCAAGGCCACTAGTGTCGGTGTTCCTTAGATAAAATGTAACATAGCTGGCCTGCTCATCTAGACTATACCTGTCTGTTAAAAAATATTACTGTAAAAGTTATAGATTTTAATATTTTATTTTTTTGTGCATTTATAGCTTGAAAATGTTCATAATTACATATATAAAATAACTTGTTAATTAAAAGTGTATTAATTTTGCTAAAAAATAACTTATTTGTATATGTGAAAGTCCAACTGATTATACATTATGAAGAATTGTATCATCTCAAGTCTTATAATGTGTATATTTTCCTGAACAATGCAAACTATCCTTATTACTATGGCTGATACAAACTGTTTTTGTTATCATGACTAATACAAACTATCCTTCTTATTATGACCAATGCAAACTGTCTTTTTTTACCATGACCAAGGCAAACTGTTTAATGGTATCAACCAGGTATCAAGGCAAACCGTTATTGTTACTCTGATTATTAGTTTAATGACTGATCATTAATTTATTATTATATATTCAGGAAAGTTTATTATATGCATTATATAACATTAATTATCATATACAGCATTCATGAAAATTTATTCATATGGATATCATAATATAATCATTTCCCCTTGACTTTCCCATTTATTTATTTTATTTATTTATTTATTTATTTATTTATTTATTTATATACAAGAAGGTACATTGGGTTTGTGAGAATACATTGGATGGTACAGTATTTACATTCTTGTAAAGCCACTAGTACGCACAGCGTTTCGGGCAGGTCCTTAATCTAGCAGATAATTTTAAGTAGGTAATTTCAATCAGAATTGATAAATGATAAAGATACATTACAAGAGAAAAATGAGATGAGAGAGATAAGTAGGTATATTAAAGCACATTGTTATATTAAAGCTCTGATTGATTACATTGACAGCTTGATTAGTAATTTAAACAAGGTTAATAGACACCATACAGTAGATTGACAGCACATATAAGACAGCAATGATCACAATGGTAAAGATGTTCAGATTGGGTACATAAAGATTGGGAGACTGGGTAGCAAAAGATACAGATAAACAAGATTTATAAACACCATACAACAGATTGGCAGCACATATTAAGAAAACAGCAATGATCACAATGGTAAAGATGTTCAAATTGGGAACATAAAGGTTGGGAGATTGGGTAGCAATTGATACAGTGCAATTTTAAGGCAAAAAGTGAAAAACTATGAAGATGAAATTAGGTACTTTTTAGTATTGATTTTGAATGATGTAAAAGTTGGACAGCTTTTCAATTCAGTAGGGAGTGAGTTCCATAAACTGGGTCCCTTTATTTGCATAGAGTGTTTACACCGATTAAGTTTAATCAACATTAAGAATCAATCATTAAGAAGAATGTTGTCATATCAACATTAAGAATCAGAGTCATTACACAGGAAATTGAGAGCAACTATGGCTGTCTGCCCCTGAAAATTACACAACATGTAATTTGGAGAAAAACAGAAAACACCAAGGCCTCTGAGAATAGGTTAGTTAGAGGTAAGCATAGGTTGGAGGAGGGAGGGGGGTACAGCTGACCATCAAGGCCCCAGCCGGCTGGGACAGGCCGGTAAAGACTGTGGCCTGCTCTCGCTAGATCCTCTGGTGGAGCGAGGAATCCTCTATCCCACTGTACAACTGCTTGAGTATTTAAGAGGAAACCAGGAGCTAAGCCCTGCCAACCAGGAGATAGCCTCTGGCTATCTTCCTACCACACCTAGACAGAGGCTTATTTCATGGGAAGAACACAGCCAACTGTTGATAATTATCATCTTGGCACAAGGCAAGGTCATGTGACATAACCTGACCTGACCTTGCCTGAAATGTGAACATTAACACTTCTGAAGGTGTGACTTTTGAAATGGTAAGGACCAACAAATTGGCACTGCAAAAATCCTGTGTGAACTGACTAATTTTATTAGTGAAATATTAAATACAGTACAACCATTTATGGTGCTACACCATGATCGATGCAAACTGTCCATTACCATACCCAAAACAAACTGTCCCAATTACCATTGCCAAGGTAAACTGGAATTGGTGTTATTAACAAGGCAAACTGTCTCCATTGTCAAGAGCGTGTAACAAACTAAAGCTTGTTGTAGAACTCACGCAGTAAACTCTCCCCGTAATTATGAGTTTTAGTGTGATTCATTTATTGTGCACCCCATACCCATCCTGTGGGCAGTAGTGGAAAGGGCTACAGAGGCACATAATGTGCTCAGGGACTGAACTCTAAAATTCATTTAGCTAAACAAGTATAGTCTTGATGTCCTAATTACAAAATTAACTAATGTACAGTATATTATTACATTATCAATGGGTTTGAGGCCAACTACAAGTACAGTCTCTTAAGCTAATCAACTTGTATATGTGGAGAGCTAGTGTCACAAGTGACATGTTTACCCCGCCCCCCAAACAGTGGGCAGTGGTGAACTGGTTACCAATCACCACTGCCCACAATAAATGATTAGTTACAATACATGATTTATTACATTTACTACCTACAGCTAGCAAACTGGGGATATTTGGCAAAAAATTCTGGTAGATAAATTTGAATTAAATATTTACACATTTCTTGGACATTTGTTATAGAGTTGTTTTGGGAATAGGGTATCTTTTCATATCTTTTTGCACGCCATCACATATTGACGGAGAGTGTGTAAATAATTTTGTTAACAGTTTACATTTGGTCAGGTCTATTACATCAGGTGTGAGGTAAATTGTACCCGTTGTCATGAGCGAAATAAACCTGTCGCTGTTGTCATGAACAGGGCAAACTGTTGTCATGAACAGGGCAAACTGTTGTCATGAACAGGACAAACTGTTGTCATGAACAGGGCAAACTGTTGTCATGTACGAGGCAAACTGTCACTGTTGTCATGTACGAGGCAAACTGTCACTGTTGTCATGTACGAGGCAAACTGTCACTGTTGTCATGTACGAGACAAACTGTCACTGTTGTCATGTACGAGGCAAACTGTCACTGTTGTCATGTACGAGGCAAACTGTCACTGTTGTCATGTACGAGGCAAACTGTCACTGTTGTCATGTACGAGGCAAACTGTCACTGTTGTCAAGAACGAGACAAACTGTCACTGTTGTCAAGAACGAGACAAACTGTCACTGTTGTCATGTACGAGGCAAACTGTCACTGTTGTCATGTACGAGGCAAACTGTCACTGTTGTCATGTACGAGGCAAACTGTCACTGTTGTCATGTACGAGGCAAACTGTCACTGTTGTCAAGAACGAGACAAACTGTCACTGTTGTCATGTACGAGGCAAACTGTCACTGTTGTCCTGTCCCAGGCAAACTGTCACTGTTGTCATGTCCCAGGCAAACTGTCACTGTTGTCATGTCCCTGGCAAACTGTCACTGTTGTCATGTCCCAGGTAAACTGTTGTCGCTGTTGTCAAACAAGCCAACACTCCTCCCAGAAACCTGATGACTCAGTATGACTAAATCAAGCATAATGAAACACCATCATCCACTTCCCTTAATGATGTCACAGCATGCTAAATAGCATTGTCTTACCTTAACTAGGCAATTAAAGCGAGGGATCCAGGCGGCAAACATGTCAAGGAGATTTGTAAAGTATTTAAAGCTACCATGGAGCACCGTCGGTCCTCCTCCTCGTTATCTCTTATACTGTGTGCTTGGACCAGGCGCTCTTGCCAGACGCACGATCAAAGCTAATATTTATCTATTTATTTATTTATATTATATTATTAATTAAACCTGAAAGGGGTACCACCTCTGGTGCAAGTGTAGGGACCCCATAGCTTCGGAGAAGAAAATAATGAGTACTCAGAGAAGACCTTGTGGATCCTCACTGAACACTTAGATATTCTTGTATTTATTTATATATATACAAGAAGGTACATAGGGGTTGTGAGGATACATAGCATAGTAATTACATTCTTGTAAAGCCACTATAGTACGCGCAGCGTTTCGGGCAGGTCCTTATTCTAAGACAATTTTAAGTAGGTAAATACTTGACAAAATTTATAAAAATGATAACAGATTAACTAAGATAACAGAATAACTAAGCCAATATGACATTTTCTGGTACTATAAGTTATTTTCTCTTTTTTGAAAGTATGAGTTTATACAGGTTAATTTAGTTAATGCCTTATACACAGCATTGTTCGGTTATTTTTGTTGCTTAAACTGCGACACCTAGTTGATCAGATAAGACGATTGTTATTGATAAAAAGGGGTTGATGAAGTGGGTAGTTTCGGTATATATATATATATATAGTCGTGTGGCTATGGTAGACCCCTGATCACGACTAAAGTATTTGCCTGAAACTACTAGAGTGATGTCAAACTTCAGCTCCTTAGCCCTACCTCATTTTTGGGGGGAGTGTGTAAAGTCAATTTATTAGGGACTCTAGTAACTACTTTATGATAGGTAGTGGATAAATGTTAAGAGTCACATCTCGAATCCATTGTTGATGTGACGACTTATACTGAATTTTGTAACTAGCTCATCAAGATTGTAACTTGCTTAGCTAAATGAATTGTTGGGTTCAGTCCCTGAGCCCATTATGTGCCTCTGTAACCCTTTCCACTACCGCCCACAAGATGGGTATGGGGTGCATAATAAATGAACTAAACTAACTCACAGGTATTGAGGCTGCGGATCTGAACCCCCAATGTTTGTATAGCTATATTTCAGCATTGATGAACAAAAGTTTCAGAGTTTGTTAACATATTGATCAGTATTATATGCTGCGAGTTACACTGCATGTACGCTGTTTACAATAAGCAAACTTGGGATACTAGAAATTCTTGTATGTGTTCACATTCAATTACACATGTTGATATAGGATACAAGAATCTCTATCAAGTTTACATTTGGTAGGTCTATATACATTGATCAGGTGACGCAAACTAACATAATACTGTATATAGTTTTTCTTGTACTTAGGGCTGGGTGGTTTCCGCGCCAGCTGGCCTGCTGACGATTAGGAGTGTTCTGCCGGAAACTCCCAAAGAGTGATATGTCCCACTTCAGGCAGTAGACGTATTGCATAGCTTAGTTAAAATTACCTTGAGTCACCTACACTTAATCTCATACGTTGTAAGGCTTTAAGGTTTAAATTCACTCTACACAATTGAGTTACGGTAACATGTAGGCACATGCAAGTCAACTAAGCGTATCCGTATTTTGTACTTAGTAACAAATAGGTCCTTCCCCTTGTGACTATCTAAATAGTTACTTTCTGGTACTTGTTGATATTTATTTTACTTTACTTACGTTGTGCTTACTTTACTTCCTTTTGGTTACTTTGATACATGCTCTAGGGTACATACATTCTTACTTATTCTACGGGTTCACCATAGCCCGTGCTACTTGGAACTTTGTTTCAGGTAGCGAATCTTTAACAACAACATCTTACTTATTTTGTTACTATTGTGCTCTTTATGTAAGTTAGTTATATATTAGTTATCATATCTGTTACGAAACTATTTTACTGAAGTTTACATGTAACTTTATTGTAAGTTTTCTGCAAGTTACTTATTCCTATATTATTACCATGTTTGTATTGTACTTTATATTATGAATTTTACTATTAAAAGTTCCAATGCATGGTACTTCCTTTAACTCGGAAAATATAGTTTTTCATGTTTACTATAGTCTGGAGAGTTTAAAATAGGTGTATGTTATTTTATTTGCCTATAAATTCCCAAACATATATTATTTTCCATTAATTTATATAATATATATATGTTCATTAGATAAATTGCATAAATAGCCTGTGAGCATATCATTAATCTCTTGGGCACGGTTCCGATAATTTTTTTTTTTAACTTAAAGGTTCTGTGGTTTCCCAAAATATTGAAAAACTGTTTACTATATAAAGTGTTTAGTTACAATTATTGTAACAGTTTATTTAGTTACAGTTTACAATTGTTCACCTAACGTTTGCATTGGCGCTTCTTCTATTGGAAACTTAAGTTTTATTTACAAAATCAAATGCTACAATAAAAGCAAAGTTTCCTCTCAGTGAAGGGTTTAAAGAAAGAGAAAAATATATAAACCATTTTCTAAAAAAAAGTTATTGTGCATTGAGAGTCGGTACAGTATCTCCCAAGTGTCTGTTCTAAACCACACTTGAAAGAAGACTGGTTATTACTCGATTGGTGATTGATTGATATAGATTAAGCCACCCAAGAGGTGGCACGGGCATGAATAGCCCGTAAGTGGTGGCCCTTTGGAGCCTTTACCAGTATCAAGAGCTGATACTGGAGATCTGTGGAGGCGCAACTGCACCCTGCGTGACGGGAGATGTCTCCCGGATCAAATGGTGACCAAATGGTGGGTTATTACTCGCCACTCTGCTGCTTACATGCTCGGGCGCTGTCCTCACTGTTCTCCAAAGGTTGGAAGGCATTTTATCTGTAAGTAGAGAAAAGGTTTGGGTTCAGTAATTAGTGCTAACGAGAGCTTTGATTCTCTCATTAGGATAATGAGTTTGGAGCGAGAATATTATTGGGATGATCTACTCGTTACGAGGCTACAGCATGTCACCGGTACTGCAGACAGTCGCCAGCACCTCCAGTGTTTTCTTAGACAATATGGATTCGTCACCATACTGGATTACCGTATTGCCTCAATGGATATCTTGCTATGGACGGTTCCCTTGAGGTGAGTCACTATCCATTCCAACCCGTCGTAGGTCATTTCGCAGTCCTGGAGACTCAGGTGCCGGCACCCGCCTCTGTACAGGGAGGAAAGTATAAGCGTTACAAGTGAGAGAACGTAAGATAAAGAACGGTCCTGTCATCCATCCATCCACGCTGGCTTAGTCTGCCTAGGCTAACAAGACAACCATTACAATTTCCAAACTTAATTAAATTACTTGAGCAGCATGTAACTATCACTAATCTGACAGATTTAAGGAGATAGCACCTGGCTCAGGCTTCCAGTTGTTGTTATAGATTCAGCTACTAGGAACAAAATGTTCTAAGTAGCACGGGCTATGGTGAACCCGTAGTGGACTTACCTGGCACAGGAGCGGGGCTGTAACTTTGTCAGGCTTCCATTTTGTTTCAGATTTAGCTACTCAGAACGAAGTGTCCATGTAGCACTGGCTATGGTGAGCCCGTAAGACCAGGCTTCCATGTTTGTTGTTGTTATAGATTCAGCTACTCGGAACAAGTTCCAAGTAGCACGGGCTATGGTGAGCCCGTAGTGGACTTACCTGGCACAGGAGCGGTGCTGAATGGCTTCCGATTGATTGATTGATAAAGATTAAGCCACCTAAAAGGTGGCACGGGCATGAATAGCCCGTAAGTGGTGGCCCTCTTGAACCATTACCAGTATCAATAGATGATACTGGAGATCTGTGGAGGTGCGACTGCACCCTGCGTGACGGGAGATGTCTCCCGTCAAATGGCTTCCAGCTGAACTGTTCTCTTATAGTGTTCCACCAGCTAAGTGAAGATTGATTACCTACATAAGGAGAGGTGCTGAAAATGCAAACGCTGCAATCACGTTACATCATAAGTTTATTTATTATGCACCCCATACATATCCTATGGGCGACAGCGTAAAGGGTTACAGAGACACGTAATGGGCTCAGGGACTGAACCCTAAAAAAAATATTTAGATAAGTTAGTCTTGATAAGCTAGTTACAAAATTGAATGAACATTGTTACATCGGCACTAGGTTCAAAGAAAACGAATTTTTTCAGTTAATAAAAGAAAATGAGAAATGTCAAGCGTAAACCATTACAATCTATATTTCACACATTTTATTTACTTGTGCCAGGTAAGTCCACTACGGGCTCACCACAGCCCGTGCTTCTTGTGCCAGGTAAGTTACGGGCTCACCATAGCCCGTGCTACTTGGAACTTGTTCCGAGTAGCTGAATCTATAACAACAGCGAGTATAACGGAGTTACAGCCCCGCTCCTGTGCCAGGTAAGTCCACATCGGGCTCACCATAGCCCGTGCTACTTTAGAACTTTTGTTCCGAGTAGCTGAGTCTAAAACAACAACAACAGACCGTAGCACATAGTAGAAGAGAGTCGAGCACATTCAGCACCGTTCCTGTGCCGTGTAGAGCTCCTCTTTATTTCGTGTTACGTAGTGTCGTATACTTTTACTCTGCTATCTCTAGTCACTGATGCACAGTGCTGCTGTATGTTATCTGATGTTATCATATGTTGTGAGTAATCTAGTGGCACAATGTGTGATGAGGCTTCTGTTTCTTAATGATGTTATTGTGTGCTTCATGGAGGTGTTCAGGTTCATCTTGTAAAGTTATTTATCAAGTATTGTCTTGTGTTGTTCTATCATGTTATATGCTTCTGTGACGCCGAATTGTAATGATTTGTATACTTTTATTCAGAATATAATACATGACTAAATTTCCAGATTTTCCAAGTGGTTTCGTAAGTTGTTGTATATAAAAACATGAAAATAAAGGCAAATACAGAAGGCCTATTGGTCCACATGAGGCGACGCCTATATATATATATATATATATATATATATATATATATATATATATATATATATATATATATATATATATATATATATATATATATGGGTGGCACATGTGCAACCCATATATATATATATATATATATATATATATATATATATATATATATATATATATATATATATATATATATATATATA